TTAGATATTTTGAGCCAAGTGCGTGTGAATTTGCCTTTGGTGGAAATTTTGCAGGAAATGCCTAAGTATGCAAGGTATCTTAGAGATATTGTGGCAAACAAGCGAAGACATACAGAGTTTGAAACAGTTGCACTTACTGAAGAGTGCAGTGCTAGAGTTTAGAGTAAACTTCCTCCTAAGTTGAAGGATCCTGGGAGTTTCACAATTCCTCTATCTCTTGGAAAACAAGAAGTTGGTAGAGCCCTGAGTGATTTAGGGGCTAGTATAAATTTGATGCCATCCTCTTTGTTCAAGCAACTCGGATTGGGGGTGCTTAGACCTACTACAATTACTTTACAGTTAGCAGATAGGTCACTAGTTATGCCAGAAGGAATTATTGAGGATGTGTTAGTTCGAGTGGGAAAGTTTATTCTTCCTGCTGATTTTATTATTCTTGATTACGAGGTAGATGAGGAAGTACCCATTATTTTGGGATGACCATTCTTAGCTACTGGTGAAGCGATTATTGATGTGAGGGAAGGGAAGTTGAAGATGAGATTTGACGATGAGGAAGTCACTTTAGTTGTATACAAGGCACTTAAGCTCCCTAAGCATTATGAGGATTTGTGCATGATTACTGTGGTCGAATTGAAGGGGATAGAGCAGAGTTCTTATATGAATTGTAGTGATCCCGATGGGAAAACTGAGTTAGAGGAGGTGGTGTTGCAAGCTGAGTGTGTAAAGATGATTGAGAAAAGAGCCAGAGATGAAAGAGGAGATCTTCTGAGAGCGTGCAAAAAGGCTAGACTTCATGGGAGAAAGAAGAAGAGAAAGTGTCCAGCCTGAGCAGAGTAGCAGAGTCGTGCCACGACTATAAATAAGGCATTTATTGGGAGGAAACCCAACCTTTATTTTTTATTTATTTATTATTTTTTTAGTGTCAAGTTTTGTGTTATTTTTATTTTGCAGAGTAGGGGAAGTCTGAGTACCCGAAGTTGAAACTGAGAAGCATGTTTGAGCTTAAGTGTGGGGTCGTCCCGACCATTAATATTGAGGATCATGTCCGAGCTAGGCCTAAGAGGGTCTCAAGGAGTATTTCTCTCCCTTGTTTTAATATTTTTCTCTGTGATCATGCATCGAGGACTATGCATAATATAAGTGTGGGGTGAAAAAACTACTTTCTGAATTATAATTGTACAAAACTATTTTTTTATTAGTTTTTCTTTTAGAACTCGTAGTAGACATAGTCTAGGTTCTCAAAATAAAAAATTAAAAAATTAAAAAAATTAAAAAAAAATAGAAAGAAAAAATTCAGAAAAAGCTCGGACTTTTCTCGACGATGGATCTTTTGGACAATTGTTTTGAGGGATTAAATTTCGATTAAAAATAATACCAAAAAGATTTTTTAGGATAGTTAGGTAGTATCCCTTGGTTTTTCTTTGGGCGCCGGTTCTTTTCCAAGGGTGTAGCTCGAACCGGGTACTCTTTTTTTTGGGGTAGGTTAGGAAGAAACTGAGTTGCTCTGAGGTGCCTAGTGACATGTTTGGTGCTGGCACATTAGGCCATGACATGCAATCTATCTTCCCGTGCATTTAGTTTGAATTGTGATGCCTGAGTAAAATAAATAGCCTATTCTGTGACGCCTTCTCTCAGTTGTTCAATTTGTATGTCACATAGTGCATTATTGCTTAAATTTCTCAATTATATGCGCTTGCTTGACTTGAGAGTTGAACAAAACCGTCTTGATTGAGTCGTGTGCAATGTGTGTGTGAGGAATTGTGATTCTCTGTGCTATCATATGTAGTCTAGAACTTGCCCCGCGTGTTAATCGAAGCGAAATTATTAAGTTGTGCTAATCTAGGAGATGACATAGGTGTTTCTTGCTTGATCATATATATGCTTGTCACTTGAAGATAAAAATTTTCCATCGCTAGCCCCTTTGAGCTTATAGACCTTTCTTTGGCACCCACATTACAAGCCGTACCCCTATTTTGTTCTTAATTTGAGATTGTTGAACCTTTACCTCCTAAGGCACGTAGTCGCTAAAATAAGTAAGGTGAGAGATTTGGGGAGTAGCTTTTGAGTGAAACCATAGAAGGACCCTTTGATGCACTAAAGTTGAAGTCAAAAGTCATTAGCCGATGAACTTTAATGTGTGGAGTGTGTGTAGAAGAGAAAAGAAAAAAAAAGAGAAAAAGAAAAAAATTACAAGGAAAAAAATGATGATAGTCAAATAATGTAGAAAAAAAACACACACCTTCTAATCTTACTAATTTGTGCTAGTGAGGGGATAAACGTGCTTAATGAAAATAAGGGCTATGGTGTATATGGTTTGTGGTAAGTGAATTGGTTGAGAAGAATATGTGCTCGATTTGTGAGTGTAGTGTATTAAAGTACCTAGGAGGGTTAGTTATTATTCCTAAATGTATCATACCCGTACCTTAGCCTACATTACAACCTTAAAGTCTTAATTGATCCTAGATTTATCTAGCTTAAATTAGTAGAGATGTACACTACGGTCAAGCTTATGGTACGACCATAGGATGCATATGAATTCTTTGTGAGAGTGAGCGAATTTTGTTCAATTGTGTGATGTCCTTAATTTATATTCAAAAGCATATTTGAATGCGTGAAATAGTTTATATTCACTCTTTTGTTTGTTGGTGAGGGTACATGATATCATGAATGATTGATAATGTTTTAAACGTCTCTTATTAGGTGAGTGCGCGAGTTGAGGGTGCTTAGTGATAATGAGTCGATTCTTGAGATTGGGTGGTTACCGATATGTTGTTTGAATTGATTGAATTGAAATTGTTATACTTGGGCATGTTTAAAATGGGAAGAATGTGAATTTTGCATGTTCACGCTTGATTGCTGGTATCGATCATAGTCAAGGATAGAGTGTATGGTTAGAAAATGAAGTGCTTCTCTATAGTTGAGATTTGTATGTAGTTGGGATAGAGTTGTTGGTCCAATTACTCGAGGACGAGCAAAAGTCTAAGTGTGGGGTGTTGATATTTAGCTTAAAGTATATATATTTATTTGTATATCGCCTCATGTTTCGTGGATTTCGGATGTAAAATGTGTTGATTTATATTAATTAGGGGTGTTTTTATGTGTAGGAATCATTCGAAAGGAATTGGGGGCGAAAGGGACAAGATTAGAGCCAAAACAAACGAAAAAAGAAAAAGTTGGATTTTCGGCGCCACAGGCAGCGCTCCACGCCACTTGTGGCGCCCTTGGCGGAAATTTTCATAAGCCAGCGCCAGCGCCAGCGTGGGGCACTGGGCTGGACGTTGGTGACGTGATTTTATCCAAGTTTGCCCGGGGCAAGGTTATTTCGACCCTAGACCTAACCAACATGTATAAAAGTAAGACTAAGCTTATTTTTGGGGGAGAGACGCCACTTTGAAGAGAGAATACACACGAGGAACATCCGGAAGCGAGGAGATCTCAGATTTCTTCATCTTTTCTTAGTATTTTTAATTATCCAACACTTATGAAATTGTTTGTTATTATCATGAGTGGCTAAAACCCATATTTTTGGGGTTGTGATTTAGCCATGAATATTGTTGTTTAACGTTGACTTAACCTTGATTACAATTCACTAATATATGGTTGTTTCTTCAATTATGTGATTGATTGCTTAATTGTTTGGCCAGCAGTTAGGTTCTATTTATATCTATGCTATGCTTGGGAAAACCAAGTTTAGTTTATAGAAGAATTGAAGACAGCACGATCTTAACTCTGAGGGGGCGGATTTGTGGCTAGGATAGGAATATACCTAGTCACCATGCTTAATTAAATATTGTAATCTTAATAGATTGATTTCATAGGAATATAGGCGTTAATCTATTTTGAATAGGCGAGTAGTACTTCGGGAGAAGGCCACGAGAGCAATTGTTCGATTAATTAGCAACCATGAGTGAATTGTATGAAAGTGATAGTTAATTAGAACACAATAGGATTGGTGAATCGATCACAACTCTGGAATATTTGTCTCTACTGAATATACAACAATTATTTTGCTGCTTGATAATTTAGTTACTACTTAGAATTATAATTTAGTATAATTAAACTCTTGAACTCGAATTGGCTCGACTGAATAACAATTTTGGTGAATTTAGTAGGTAGTTGATAAAAGTCTTTGTGGGTTCGACACTCGACTATACAAGTCTTTGTGGGTTCGACACTCGGCTTATCATTTTATTACTTGTACGACCATGTATACTTGCGTGTCGCGTTGCAGCGATCATATACTTTTTCGTGTGCTTTTGGATTTGTTTACATCAACTAGTCTATTCGATAGTTTTCCAAATAAAGTTTAAGAATTTTTAGGTGAAAGAAGCAGAAGGAAATTGGATTTTAAATTATTAAAACTCAAACCAAATGTAATTTATTTGTTCTTTTTCCTTGAAAAGATCCAACAAGAAGAAAATGTAAAAATAAAATAAAAATGATTTATGTATGCGTTTGCTAATTCTTGCCTAACTTGTTTTCGAACCGAACAACCCTTTTAGTGTTATACCACGGACATATACATAGAGATCTTGAAATTTTTAAAAAATAAAAATAATCTCAGTATTACTAATCCCTGCGTTGCTTATTTTTGACTAACTTGTCTTCAAACCAAACGACCTCTTAAGGCTCATTTGGTACGAGGGATAAGGGATAATTAATCCGGGATTAAATTTGATATGAGTTTATCCCATGTTTGGTTAGGATAAAATTGCAGTATAACTAATCCTGAGATTGTAGTACTTTTTTATCCCCAAGATAATTAATGTGATAACTTGTTTCCAACCAAACGACCCCTTAGAGTCCTATTACCTTCATCGTTGTTGTCTAATTTTTGTTCTCATACAAAAGAAAACGAAAATTAGTTAAGAGAGTAACAATGTTAGAACAAGTATTTTTATGGAAACCAAAAGAGAATAGTTTGGACAGATATTATCTGCAAGGTTTTAAAATAGAGAAGGCCAGCAAAAAGAAGCAAATTACTGTAAACAGAGTCAAGAACCTTATATAACCCCATCATACTAGATATTCAATAAATTAACATCAACGTTTGATACAACAGAAAGTGTCCTGAATACAATGCTTCTTTACAGTTATCTCCCGTTGATACAACTATGAATTAAACTGCTGACAATTTAGGACGATAAACTTACATTCGCGCTAATAGAATCCTTCTCTCACCCACAATAAAGGAATGTAATGAGCGGAAACATAATATGTAAATGATGTTTAGGTGTACCGTCCTAGATTGAAAACTTCGAAGCATTATTTGATGGTGATGTAGCGGTTTGTACCATGCTTTGCCCAGTGGTTCTTGAGATCAACTGGATTTGATAGATCATGGCCTTCTGCCGCCAGGCGACTGAGCAGCTTGGTGAATGCACTTCCACTCATTTTTCGACCACCAATTCGGGCATGTCGCTTGTTAGGAACAGCTGGTAATGGATACATCGACAAATTGGTCGTGCAACACGAGGATTGCCAACCTCCGTTTCCCCATTTATAGCAAGGTCTTAAAACTCCGGTGCAGGAACAAACCGGGACTGGCATTGTTGTTTCATCAAATGCAACTTGGTTTAGCCCCAGGTCCTGATCCTTCCAATCGGGTTTTGACACAGCTAACTGCCTATTAAGGTCATCACTTGCATCGCCCATCTCTTGTGCACCCTTCCACTCCTGAGACTTGCCAAATGTCGTTTGGTTAAGATCTTCAGTTTCCCTTTTTACTTTCTTCGATGCTTTTGGAGTCTTCTTGGAACCTGTCATTGCCTTTGGCTCCTTAGCTCTTTTGTTCCGACGGGGCTTTGTGGGCTCCGGTGCAACAGGTGAAACTGGCATGGATTCATTCACGTGCATGTCTCTCGGGTTATATGTAGGTTCTCCCATATGTGGCTGATGATGTACATGTACATGCTGTTGAGGATGGTGCATGTGTTTTACCACTCCACGGGCAATCTGACCACCACCACTTATCGAGCTTTCTCGATACTGAAGAGTAGCGATGGCATTATCCCGTTCCATGATGGCATTATTTCGTTCTGCTATTGCTGAATCCCGCTGAAGGATAGCCATGTCACGCTCTGCCAAGGCAGCCTTTTTTTCAGAAAGGGCCAGATTCCGCTCTTGTATGGCGGCATCTCTTTCTGCCATGATTGCCATAATCTGCTTCATTGATGGCTGATGCTGCATCAACCACTGAAATATGGAAAAAAACAAAAAAAGCTTAGTATCTATGCAATGAAATACTTCATTTTGCTGCAGAATCCACTGTTCATATAATAGATTCAACACAGCATATTTTAGTTACTACCAGTGACAAATGTAGATAAGGTACGCATTCAAAGCTTAGATGCAAATGTGTAAAATATCCAAAATTTTAATAAATAGTACATTTTGAACTCTTGGCGTAACTGGTAAAGTTGCTGCCATGTTACCAGGAGGTCGCGGGTTCGAGCCATGAAAACAGCCTCTTGCAGAAATAAGGCTGTGTAAAATAACCCTTGTGGTCCGGGGCTTCCCCGGACCCCGCACATAGCGGGAGTTTAGTGCACCGGGCTGCCCTTTGAGTACATTTTGAACCCATAGTTTTTAAAGTTCAATGGGTTTACAACTAAGAACATAAAGATTGAACTCATCAAGTTTAAATCCTAGATTCTCCTCTGGTTACAACACCTGGGAATCGTAGTTAAGATCCAAACTAAGAAATAGGAAATCAACTTTAACTGCTGCTACATACCTGACCCTGAGGCGGTTTATGCCTTCCGTTATCACGATGCCCGCTGTCATCCATACGATATATGTGGGTGGTTAATGTCAAAATCAATTTCAGCCTTCAATCCGACAAAGTTGACATATACTCATCAAGGAAAATCAATCCCTGACGCCAAAAATTAGAAAATAAAATAGGTCACATCTCTTCACAGCAAGGATAGTGTCGCCGAATGCCATATATATCTAATACTTAAAAAAATACACGAGTAGGAAGAATCAACCATAGAAGCCTTTGTCTTCAAATGCTCTTAACAAAAGAAAATAAGGGAAACAGAAGAGTCGCAAAAAAGGGGAAAAAATCCAACAAAATTAATCCATTCCATTTCAGGAAGCATATACATAGATTTAGAGCTTTGAGCTAATAAACGAATTCAGCAATCACAAACTCACCAATTACCAACAGATTCAGATCTGCATTCTCTTAATCAAGGCTGAATCATAAAGAACCTGAAAGACAAACACTCATCATTAACTCCACTGACCTTGAGAGAAACGTAAGGAAGCAGAGACAAGCAAAGAACAGAAGATTTTTAATGCTTTGGTGATGGTAGAAATACACATATTTGTGCCGTTAAATAGGTAGAGGTCCAGAGATTATAATAATCCAAACTTCACATAAAAATTTAATATCCATCCCAGAAGGGGAAATGAAAGCGCAGATTAGTTACGAGTTATGACAAGATAAAGCAATTCTGATAATCAGATTTCAACCGAGTGACATGACATAAAATGTGTAAAAATAAATTAATAGGAGGTGCTGAAAGGCAGAACAGATATGAATAAGCTAATTCGGGATGAGACTCAGGCCTAAGTATTTTCAAAATTATTTCAGCAGAATCGGTTGGAACAGCGGTGTAAATCGGAGACCGGACAATCTCCCAATAAACCCTTGACAGAAAAAGCCACTGGAAGATCTTGGCACATTAAACTGGCATGATTAATTCGTTCGAAGATGCCATAAAGAGAGCATCCCCAATTCTGAACAGGTACAAAATTATAGTTGGTGCTAAGCTATCTAAGTACAATGCGGCAGCCCCTTGACACTATTACAGATAAGCGTAGAAAAAACAAAAATACAAATAAGCGTAGAAAAAATATCTTAAAGAAAAAGGGAAGAAACATAGCACTGTTACATCTTGTCAGTATCATTTATAATTGATCTCGGGATGAAATTCAAGCTAAAATATCGAAAGGAGAATTTTTGCAATATTGACTTCTGAAAAAGCACTGCAACATAGCTCATATCAGACTCTCAATGGCCAGCACGAAAAATGGAAGCTCCGTGTCATATATTTGCCCAAAAGAATTACGATAATATTGGAAAGGGCACACTTTTTAACGAGCGTTGTCTCTTTACCCAAACATGAACGATCCATGCAGACATATTTCAGATTCTTGAACTTGTTCCACTTAACTGGATGTAAGGAACACGTATCGCTATATAAGGTAGTAAATTGTTTCCTCGTGCTAAAAACTTGCAATAAGATGGACAAACACAGTAGTCATTCGTTATCTTCCACGACTACAGCTTACTATGAACTTACATTTTCATCCAACAATAAGAAAAACTGCTGTGATTTCAACCACGTAGACAGAGCAACGAAATACTTACACCAATGCCAATAATCAATCGCCTTAAGAATTTCAATACAAGCAATTTAACCTAAAGAGTAGCTCATAACGCAGCCCCATCCCCCACCCCCCAAACACACACACACAAAAATTCAAACAGGGAAAAAATTAAGAAGATTAAAAACACAAGCTTGATGATTGTATCTTAACGGTGTGCTTAACTCTAACTAGTACTTTCTTACAGCTAAACAGTGTTAACTGTATCGGCTCAACGACATACACTCTACACACAATATACAAAAATGAATTGAGGGTCTGAAGGTTTTAAGGCTAATAAGTGTTTCACTAGACAATGCATTGACTTAATCTAAACTAAAGCAGAAAAAAGAGTTCTAACAAAAAAACTAAGTCTTTCAACATAGAAAGAACCAATCTTTATAACCAAAAAATAGTAAAGTCAGAAATTGGCACTTCAAAAATGAAAACATGTAGATCAATTACATGAACAGGTAATGAACTTCAGCAGCAATTAAACAATCAGTTAATCAAGATTCTGAGAAACAAATTACACCCAGTTCAGATAAGTGAAACCCCAAAAATCAAAGCAAGACAAAAACAATAAATAACCCAAATTCAAGCTCAAACCAACTCATAAACAAGCTGAAACACTAATCAAAACCTACAGCTCAAGATTTTCCATTCAACCCCAGCTGAATTAAGTATAAGCATAAATTCAACTGACGAACAAAATACATAAAAAGGGAAAATAGAAAAAAAAAAAAAAAAAAAAAAAAAGATACAACCATTAAAGAGTTAAAAGACTACATGTAAAGCTTACATAGTAAAGTTGTACATAATTGGGAAGAAGAAAAATAAAGAGAAAAGGGGGGTTAAAAACCCTAACTTGAAGGAAATAAATATCAGTGAAGAAAGAGCAGTAGTTGAAAGAAAAAAAGAAAGAGCAAAGAGGAAGAGTACACACCCACATTGACATCACACATCAACTCTTTTTTTTTTTTTTTGGGGGGGGGGTTTTTTTTTTTTTTTTTTGTATTTTTTATTAATTTTATATTTTACCTGTCTATACCAAGACCACCCCATACCAGCATCTTTTTGTTTTCTTTCTTTCTTTGTCTTAAGTTTTTTTATTATCTCATGAGATTTTATGTTCAAATTTTATTGGAGGTAATAAATACGTTTTTTTTTTATTAATAAAAAAAATCTGTCATTTAAACTGAAACGGAGAAAATATATACTAATAAGAGTTAATAGATACTCCTGAAATTAGTAAAGGTATGCGGAAATTGATCGGACACTAAATAAAAAAAGTTTCTTATTACCCTTTGGAAATTGGAAAAATAAGTAGTAGTTATAGTACTCGTCCACTTTCATATTATTATGTTGTTCGCTGAAATTGACTGAAAAGTGAAGAAAAAAAAGAGAGTCATAACTGTGAGTAGGAAGCTTATTGAGATTTGTGCTTATATAAGTGAAAAAAAGGCAACCTTTTTAATGTGTCTTTTTCATCTGCTTTAGCCATGTTGCTTATTCTTAGTGGTAGGAATACATTTTATATACCAATTGAGTATTTTCAAAGTTCATATTTCACTAATGTTAAGCAACCTTCACTTCCAACCAAGAGATTGTGAGTTCGAGTCACCCCAAGAGCAAGGTGGGGAGTTCTTGGAGGGAAGGATGCCGAGGGTCTATTGGAAACAGCCTCTCTACCTCATGGTAGGGGTAAAGTCTGCGTACACACTACCCTCTCCAGATCACACTAATGGAATTATACTGAGTTATTATTGTTGTTGTATCTTTCACTAATATCTCGTGAAGTTGACATATCGCTTTCTGTATAAAGAGTGATTTGGAATCACAAAGCCATGCAAATATTTGGAAAATTCTGCTTTTTTAATTGGGGTTGAAGCTGGGCAGTAAATTAAATGCCGTGAGACCAGTGTTTTAAAAGAGCAATAACATCCCAAGATGCAATTTGTGAGTCAATTTTAAATTTTTACTAAATATATTTAGATATTCGAAAGATATTAAACCATGAAAAAATGTTTTAAATATATTTAAAAATGTATGAACTTAAAAAACTTGTGCTAAATTAATTTTACTACGTAGACATAATAATGTACCAAGTCGTCAATTTTTTTTAATTGTAGAGTACTTTAAATAGAGTCCCAAGTCGTTTAGAAGATATCTAGCCATAAAACAAGTCATGGACAAGTCCCGACTTGCATATAAAACATTGTATACGACATTTGGTGTATTTCTCTGTTTTATTGTTTTTTTATTTCTTTCACTTCGCAAAGACAGCTAATTATGGCAAAGTTTATAATTTAGTGTGAGTTTGAACTTTGATTAGGCACGACACAGCGACATGACTCTTGATACGAATGTATGAATGTCGAGGATTAGACTAATAAGTTAGGTAGTCTAGATTATTCATACCGGTAGTATTGGTTCGCACTCTCGCATTTGGTTGATATTCGATTTCTTTGACTACATGTCGTTTTTTGCATTTCGATCATCTTGCTATCTTATTGTTATTTATGATGCTTTGCATGGCTTCTCGGTGTTGTCCCGTCTTGTTTTTCTTTTTATTATTGTGGTACTTATGTTTTCCAGAGTCGAGTGTCTATTGAAAACAGTCTCTCTACCTCCACATGGCAGGGGTAAGATCTGCGTACATACTACCCTCCCCAAACCCCATTATGTGTGATTATACTGGGTCTGATGTTACGTTGTTGTTGTTGTTGTTGTTTGAACTTTGGTCTTCTCTTGAAATTGGGTATAACAAATTTATAGCCTGTTTGGCCAAGCTAGAAAAATCAACTTATTTTGAGGAGTGTTTTTTTTTTCAAAAGTGTTTTTTCAAAAGCAGTTTGTGGTTGACTAATTAATTTGAAAAGCACTTCCAAGCAGCAATTAATGTTTGGCCAAACTTTTAAAAAGTGCTTCTAAGTGTATTTTTCTCAAAAGTGTTTATGGGAAGAAGCTACTTTCTTATGCTTCTCCCAAACTGTTTTTGCTTCTACTAATTTTTTTTTTTCTCTCTAGCTAAAAGCTTGGCAAAAACTTCAACTTTGAAAAAAAAATATTCTTTTTGAAAAAAAAAAGTATTTTTCAACTTGGAGAAGTTTGGCCAAATATGCTATTGTTCTACTTCAAATATACCGCAACTATGGGTGTGTTTGATACGAAGGAAAATATTTTCCAATTTTCTCATGTTTGGTTTGGATTAAATGTTTTGAAAACATTTTCCTCGTGAACTCATTTTCCTCCAATTGGAGGAAACTGTTTTCTCTATCAAGAGNAACCAACCCCCACACCCACCCACCCACTCCCACCCCTCAACCTAAATAAAAATATTATTAATAGTAGTTTCTTTTTATGCTGTAGATAGATTTTTTTTTTTGCATTTCAACAAATGAGTATTTTTTTTACATGATATAACAAAGTATTTTTTTTTATTTCAACAAAAAAGTACTTTCTTTTTCTTAGAAAAAGTATTTTCTTTCATTTCAACAAAAAAAGTATTTTTTTTCATGATATGACAAAGTATTTTTTTTTTCATTTCAACAAAATGGGTATTTTCTTTTATTTTAATAAAATGAGTACTTTATTTTCATGTTGTAGAAATTGTACTTTATTTTTCAACCAAAAAAAGAATATTTTCTTTTTAGTTATGGAAGACAAATTTTAACATTATTTTTGCGTAAAAAAAAATAAGCAGCACATTAGTTCCTTTGGGTTTGTGTTAATTTTTAGAAGAATAATTAAATTCCTTGAAGAAAATGGAGTCCTGAAAACGTTGGGTATTTGGGGGGAGGGGGGCGAGCAAGGAAACATGGGGACCTGGGGGAAGGAGGGGTGAGGAAAGTAGCATAAAAAAATATTTTCGGCTCTCTAATCAAATACTAAAAAATATTTTTCGGAAAAAGTTTTTCACTCACCAACCAAACAAGAAAAAATAAGTGATAAAATCACATATTTTCCATGAAAATATTTTCCTTCGTACCAAACACACCCTATATCTCTTATGAATTAGTTGAGGTTGGATACATGAATCTTCTGAATGGATACGTCATAGTTATATTATGAACTTTTTGGCTGTCAACTTAGCAAATATTTTCCTCTGTTCCGATTTAGCAACTTAGCGAAACTCACATAGGCAAATCTAAAAATCAGTTCTATAGACTATAAAGGGATAAATAATTTAAAGACGGTAGATTCTCTTGATATGCTGTTGTTTGCTTTCGAAGAGTTGGATAATGTTCCTTTATTCGTGATTAAATTCGCATAATTTGCATTAGTTTCAAATTCAGTTCTTACTAACTGCAATTATGGAATGTACTCTGATAATTTTATGAAAGCTGTGGTACAAACTTTAATCAAGTAACCCTTCTGTCTATTTCTCTCTCTATATATAAGAGTATAGTTTGCAATATGGCGAAGCCAAGTATCAAGCTATTAACAAGCCACTTAATAATTTTAAGATATGTTTACTATGAGTTGTAATAGCATTTTTTAAATTCAGAAATAAATATTTCAAACAAAAAGAATATCATCTAAATTTTAGTGATAACTTTGAATTGAAAACTAAATCGTTCAAAGTTAAGAAAGTTATCTCGGATGATGGAACTTCTTGAGATTTACTGTAATGATGCGGTGTAAATAATATCATAATCATATTCATTGTTAAAGAATCTAATTTTTTTTTGTTGATGAATATTAATTTTGAATTATTAGATTATGTGAAAGGTTTTTCTTCTCGAATTTCAACAAGAGAGATATTGGTTTCAAATTGACAATTTTCTAAATCAATTTTTAAGTATAACAAAAAAATGTGTTTTAAAAAAAAATTGTATGACGTGAAATATTTTTCAAAAAATATTAAAGAGTTATTTTGAAATGGGGTGATTTTTTAAGATGTAGTGCAATTTTAAAAATAAAAGGATAAGACATTTTTGAATTTTAGTGGAGAGCTTTTTGAATTAATGTAAGAGAAATCATATCATGGATAAAATAGAGTCACTGAAATATTAAATATCATCTGTATATAAATATCATAAATGATACACTGATTACACACAATTATATATATATATATATATATATATATATATATATATATATATAATATACATGAATTATATAAAAAAATATATATATTCTTTAATTTTTTTTTACTTAAGCGGTTGGGTGAGCACTTATTTAAGTTAATTCGATAGAGCCAAAAGAAAAATATGAAAGAATTTCAACCAAAGGTTAATATAAATAAATTTCTTATGTAGACAATTTCTATTAAACTCATTCTTTTATAGTTAAAATAAATTATTATTATTTTGTAACGAAAGAAAGAATAAAATAAGATAAAAGAAAATATATGGGAAATCTAAAAGGAACGAAATTTCTTCTTCTTAGAGTATAAAAAATTTGGAGTTGATCTTTGATTTCAAATATTTTTTTCGACTCAAATACGT